AGATAATTAAAAAACGGGATCTAAGTAGAGATTCGTTTTGTCGCAATTTGAATATTTAAATGTAAGCCGCGTGGATTTTGGACAATTTACATGTTTCACTTACGCATCGTTTACGCGCGTACAACGTAAAAATGTCCAAAATGTGACAAAACAATTTTCTATCTAGGTTCCATTCTTTTCGTTGCGCCTACCACCGTTGCAAAATGTTTTCGAACAAACGCAAACACTCGAAACGAGTATTTAAAGAACAGTGAACATCTCTTAGCTGCGAAATATCATTGAAGTATCTATTTGTTCGCAATATATATATATATATATATATATATATATATATATATATATATATACGAAAAGAAAACGTAGACAAGATTTCAAGAAGTTTTTAAATAATTTCGTACACTTACGTCCGATCGAAAACATTCTTTGCCCCTGGGGTAGTAGTATATATTCGTGGAAACGTGAATGGCCACGAGAACAGTGTATTCATCTCGTATTATCATATCGATAACAGAGTGAAAGAATCGTGAGAATAACGAGAAGAAAGAATTTTTCCAGTAAAGAGAAGAGTAGAAGAACGAGTAGGTGACGTTATCAATTGTCGTACGAAATATCAAGACGGTCCCGACCACGACCACAAACATAGAGGTATAGGCATAAGGCACAGGTAGCCAGTATCGCTATATAGAGAGAAAATATTCTCGAGCTCTTATTCGTTACTCGTTCTTTTTTTCTATTTTTTCTTATTTTCTTCTTTTTTTATTTTTCATCCATTCGTTTATTCTCGTCCTTATTCGCGTATCTCATCTATTCCCCCTTTTTTTTTTTCTTTCTTTCTTTTTTCTTTTCTGACTTTCGTTTACTTTTCTCTCGGTATTAACGAAAGAGGTATATAAAACGTTTCGGTCCAAAACCAGCCCGGATGGAATTGGACCGAGCAAGCTGCAGCAAGCTGCGTTTTTGTTTTCTTTTCTTTTTTTTCTAATTTTTCTTTTTTGTTTTTCTTTTTCCTTTGTCTTTATCGTTTCTACTGTTCTCAGAAACGAACGAGATATATATATATATATATATATATATATATATATATATATATATATATATATATATACCCCTCTTTTTTATCCTTTCTCTTCAACGGCATATATAAAATTATTTATATATGCGACTCGTGGTGTGGGGGCTCGATTTCAATAGGTACGATTCAAATCGGTATAAAAAAAGAGAGAGAGAGATAGATAGAGAAAGTGTGAAGCTCTGTGATATATCTCAGTTGAAAGTTCTTACGTTCCGGTGTTCTCGACGAATCGCTGACGAGGAATCGACTCGCGTTTACTGTCACGATCGATACGCGCGTGCAGAAATAATCGAAATAATCGAGAACATAGTGAATCTTATTAATTGCAATTTGATCGTAATCTACGTTTCATTAGAACATTAAAACAAAAGTATTTAACATCATTGTATCGTGTGTATGTACCCTATATCCTGGATAGATTCATGTTATTTCTTAATAAATTGTAACTGTAAAATTTAACACGTTCACTGCCTCATGTATGTTGGGACACATACACGTTTTTCGATCAGCGTCGAACGAATTTTATTTGACAAATGAATTGTGAGTCGACGAGTGACGTAATTGAAGAAGTCATATTTATTTATTGGAAATTGTAAAACGTCCAAGGACTGAACAGTGAACGTGTTGACATTATCTATTCAAATACGGTAGAATTTCAATTTATTTGAACCAAATTTTAATCAATATCAAATTAAGCGACCTCTCGCTGGTTGAGTCCATTTATTCGAATCTGAATTCCTATTATATGAACAGTAGAGGGACGAATCTGAACTCCAATCATATTTGTGGCCCAATAAATTCATATAAATGGAGTTCTACCAGAAGAACGATTAATAATATTTTTAAATTGAATTATTGAAATGGTAGTATGATATCTTCTCTCAGTGGACTTCTGTTGCATGAACTTGAATTATATAAACCATTCGTCCCCCGGTAAATTTATATGGAGCTATTCATCATTCATAAGAATAATTAATAAATTTCAAGATCATTATTAATAAAGTAACGTAATTTTTTCTTACTATCACGAAGAATCAGTGAACTTCTGTTATGCAAACTTCAATTATATAAATTGTTTGTCATCCGATAAGTTCATACAAAATGATGATTCTAAGAGTAATTAATAATATTTTGAAATCATTATTAAAATAGTAACATAATATTTTCAGCAAACACCAATCAATGTAACATAATAACATAAACTATTCGTCCCCCGATAAATTCATATATATGGAGCTTCATCATTCATAAGAATAATTAATAAATTTCAAGATCATTATTAACAAAGTAACGTAATTTTTTCTTACTATCACGAAGATTCAGTGAACTTCTGTTATACAAACTTCAATTATATAAATTGTTTGTCATCCGATAAGTTCATACAAAATGATGATTCTAAGAGTAATTAATAATATTTTGAAATCATTATTAAAATAGTAACATAATATTTTCAGCAAACTCCAATCAATGTAACATAATAACATAAACTATTCGTCCCCCGATAAATTCATATAAATGGAGCTTCATCATTCACAAGAATAATTAATAAATTTCAAGATCATTATTAACAAAGTAACGTAATTTTTTCTTACTATCACGAAGAGTCAGTGAATTTTTGCTGCACGAACTTGAATTATATAAACTGTTTGTCATCCGATAAGTTCATACAAAATGATGATTCTAAGATTAAAATAGTAACATAATATTTTCAGCGATCTCCAATCAAAGTAACATAATAACATAAACTATTCGTCCCCTGATAAATTCATACAAATGGAGTTCTACCGTAAGAGCAGTTAACAATATTTTAAAATCGTCACTGAATATACTTGACATAATATTTGACAGCGAGGGATTAATTTATTCATTTCAAACGGCGAGACCTTCCTCCGTATAGATCGCGTATTTTATCTTTCACGTGGACAAGTCGATTCCTCGTCAAGTCGAGAGACATGGCTACCGTGATTGGCGTAAGGTTTGTCGAAGGTCCTAGATTTCGAAGAATAAAGACAGTCCACCTACTTGTTTCGAATAATTTATACAGTGTGCTGCTATATATATGTTTTATATATATATATATATATATATATATATATATGTTGTTTATATAATTGATCTCTCTCACGTATTCTAAAATGACATTTGTAGACAAACGTTACGCTAGCGTTACCCGGCGTTTAAACGGCGATGCTCAGGCTTCTTCCTCCGTTATGTTAGTATATATATATATATATATATATGTATGTATATATGTATATACTGTATACGTATACGTGGTACAACGAGCCGTGAAAATGCAAATTCGTGCATCGTATTGCTCCTCTGCGGAACCGGATCGATACACGTCACCACACGCTCAGAGAGATACGCACGCACACTCGCGGCCAGTCACACATCTCTCATTACAGACGCTGCGCATCGTCGTTCAAACGAAGCAAATCGATCTCGCGACGAGGTGACACTGTTCCCCGATGCTTCCTTAACGCTGCACAGAAATACACTACTAACACGCTCGTACTCACGTCTACCCACTCCGTTTTATCCTGCGAGAAAATGCCAATTTCCAATTCATGCGCGAGTGAGAGAACTCATCAGCGACGAATGCGAGAGACAAGCTTCGTACAACTCGCGTGTGAGGAAAAAGAAAAATTTCAAGTTGAATATATAATGAAATAATAAATAATAATATATAAATAAACAATAAAATAAAATAATGAACAATATGAATAAATAATAGAATAAAGTAATAAATAATAATATAAATAATAAAATAAAACAATAAATAATAATATAAATAATAAAATAAAACAATAAATAATAATATAAATAATAAAATAAAACAACAAATAATAATATAAATAATAAAATAAAACAATAAATAATAATATAAATAATAAAATAAAATAATAAATAATAATATAAAACAATAAATAATATATATATTATTTATATATAATATATAAATAAACAATAACATAAAAAAATAAATAAAATAAAAAATAAATAATACTATAAATAAATAATAAAATAAAATAATAAATAATATATAATAAAATAGCATGAGAATAACTTACATATATGTATATATAGAATACATATAATAAAATTACTAATAACTAATAATGAAATAAAATAACTAATATATATATATATATATATATAGAATATATATAATAAAAATAGCGAATGAGAATAACTATTGAGTAACGTCTTAAAAAATAATTTTTTCCCTCGGGACAAGATATCGAGAGGAAACTCGCATTTTACTCGCGAGACGAGACGAATGTTTTTCTTTTATCATCGCGAGAGAGCATCGAGAGAACACTGTACACCGTTGTCGAAACATTACGCCGTTTTTTGTGTGTCTCAAGGATAATATATGTGTAAAATGTCACGAGAGTCTGACCTGCCGATTCATCGGCGCGATCAGGGTTCTACTCTAACGATACGAAATCTGCGAAACGCTCTCGAGCACTCGATTTTGTAGTATACCGAAACATCGTGAAATCTCGCGAGAAAAGAAACATTACTCCCAGCGAAGAAACGATCGCGCGATGTTTCGCAAAGTTCGTACAACTGCGAATAATTCTCGGGGAAAAACCAAATTGTCTGCTTCAGCTTACTTGTCGTATGGATCTTGTCTTGTCTTATTTGAGAAAAAAAAAGGAAAAAAAAAAGAGAGAGAGAGAGAGAGGAAAAAAAAAAAGAAAAACACGAAGGACGAAGCAGAGTATCGGAGAGCTATGAGAGTTCCTTCATACTCAACAATATTCAGGCAATTCGATTTTTCGTGCGAGAGAATCTTCTACACTCAACTAGATAGAGAGTCGTTTATTTCTCATGTAACATGTTATAAACGTAATATCTTTGGCTGTATATATATATATAGAGAGAGAGAGAGAGAGAGATAAATGTAAAGAAGGCTTACCAAACCGACGAGTAGAAAAAATACTAGGAATGTGCGGCCGAGGACCGTCTGGCAGTAAACGTCGCCATATCCTACCGTGGACATCGTCACGATGAGAAAGTAGACGCAGGTCCAGTACGAAAGCTGTTGAGGGTTCGTGAACTCGAACGGGTCCCCTGAGTTTTCAAGCTGCCAACAGAGACAATGTTTCCCCCACATGGAGTTTCAACTTGAAATTGGAGCATATGCTAAAATGCGTATAACGATTCATCTCCATTCTCCGTGGGAATTACAGTGAAAATCTGTCTTTGCACATACGTAGAAAGTTGGTAGAAAAAACTGTGCAATAAACTTCGAAAATTTTCGATCAAAGTGGCCAAAAGGATTGTCTAAATTAAATTTCCAAGCGCATAAAATTATTACGTGTATATATCTTCGAGTATCTATCGATTTAACCAATAATTTCTTTGTAAATGAAATTCGCGAGTATATCGAGAATATACCAAATTATTATATATTCTGAATATGAAATTATTATATATTACAAGAATACCAAAATTATTATATATTTTGGCATACATCGATTTTCATTAAACTACGTATAATCAGCTCTTTCATAAAATTAATTAACCACAACCAATATTATAATAATATAATAAAATCTTCATGATATCTACGATAATTGTTCCATATATATATTTTATAATGACATCTTTGTAGTTAATAGTAATAAACTTATTTTGGGGCAAAGTAACCAAGGATTATCTAAATTAAATTCGCAAGCATTACATTTGTACATATATTAAAGACACCCATGAAGCAATGTTACTATTTTTTTTTTCAAATTTAATAAACTCTACAAAAGTTAATAAACTCTAGAAATTTTCAAATTTAATCGCCGTCTAGTGACAATAACTTAAAAAGATAATTTAAATAAAAATTTTGTACATTATCAAAAAGCGACATTTCTTATGAATACCTCTATTATATCCATTGAATTAATTTAATTTCTTCATAAAATCTGTGATAATTACTCCACGTGTACACACACGTCATTTTGCAACTTTGTGTCGTTAGTTAGAAAACATAATGAACCAATTTTGAATCAACGACTGTTCAAATGAAATCCTTGGTATGAAGAGTACCAAAATTATATGTTATATATTTTGGGATGCATTTGTATCCCTGGGATATACAGAGTGATCAACTGAAAGACTGAATGACATAAAACAAAAATAACTTTTACAAACGTGTTTTCTAAATGTTTTATTACTTTATTTTGGAAATATGATTGATGTATTATGTTTTCTATAGCCCACGAAAGAAAGGAAATAAAGAAAGACTGAAAATGAACAAGTTATGACCCTTCAATTGTTCAGTGGCCACCCTGTGCTAGGTGTGTCGCCGATATCTTACCAAATGAATGATGCCAGCAGCTGTTAACCAGACGGAGATGAAGATCGATACAAGTTGGGCGAGACGAATGGAACTCGATGTCTTTAGAATGTTTAGGTACTGGAGGATGTCAGGGACCGTCATCAGTCGTAGGGCTCGGAGGAACCTCAGTCCGATCCACGTCCGATCGAGATATATCGACACGAAGGACGGTGGTATCGTAAAGTAGTCCACGAACGAATACATCTCCAGCATGAACCACAGCTTATCACTGGCGGCGATAAACTATCACACAGAAGGAAATTTCTCTGTTTTATATCGCGCCATCTTTCTTTCCTTTTTTTTTTTTTTCTTTTTTTACCCCAGACACTTTTTTCAGTCTCAGCGAAACTGATTGTGAGTCGTGATCGTGTGTGTCTGCGTGAAAATTGACGAACGTGTTTTTTCTTTTTTTTTTTTTTTTTTTACACTTACGCGTATAAAAAAGTAGACCATAAAAAATATATTGAAAGCTAAGTCTATCTGCTGAGTAATGTTGTTGCTCCACTGTTGGCAACGTTCCACCTCTTCGCTGTAACACAAAATTTGTCGCGTTCGCGTTAGAAAAGGCTTGTTAGAAAAGAATATCTAAATTATTACGCTCTCGCGAGTAAAAAACGAATTGTTGTAACGAATGACAGGATCATGTAACAGAGAAATAGCAACATCTCTGCGCGATTTTGTATTTAATCTTCAAGATTCAATTATAATGTATCCGATATGTTGAAGTCAGTATGTACTCGATTATATAATTATAATTTAAAATCTTTATTATTTGAAGATTCAATTATAATGTATTCGATATATTAATTTCAATGTGTACTCGACTGTATAATTATAATTTAAAATCCTTTCCAATTTAATATACAAATAAACACAGTGAATCTATTTCAAATATATCGCGATGATCGCAGATCGTCAAAGCGAAATTTATTTACGATTTATATACATTTCGACTTAGATTGAGAAATAATCGATGTTCTTACCTGGAGGCATCGATGAAGTATATTATAAGCGATGCTATACTGAGAATGAAAACTAACACCACCTGAAACACAAAGTACGATTCAAAGCGTTAAAACCATTTCATTTAATTCCATTGAATTGAATAAATTTCGATTGAATAAATAAGAAGGATAAAAATTGAAGAGAAAGTAAATTTTAAATATTTGTATTATTCTTCTAGTACGTAGTATTTGTAATATTTGTAATATTTTTGTAGTATTTGTAATATTCTTGCAGTATGTAATATTTGTAATATTTGCAATATTTTTGTAATATGTAATATTTGTAATATTTCATAGTATTATAAATTATATTTGTAATATTTGTGATATTATAAATTATATTTGTAATATTTGTGATATTATAATTCATATTTGTAATATTTATGATATTATGAATTATATTTGTAATATTTGTGGTATTATAAATTATATTTGTAATATCTGTGATATTATAAATTATATTTGTAATATCTGTGATATTATAATTTATATTTGTAATATTTATGATATTATAAATTATATTTGTAATATTTATGATATTATGAATTATATTTGTAATATTTGTGGTATTATAAATTATATTTCCAATATCTGTGATATTATAATTTATATTTGTAATATCTGTGATATTATAATTTATATTTGTAATATTTATGATATTATAAATTATATTTGTAATATTTGTGATATCATAAATTATATTTGTAATATTTATAGTATTCTTCAACATACAATGAACGAAGGTCTACGAATCACTATTGTCGAAATGCACGAATCTTCCGCATGTAAGGACAAACGTGAATTAAACGAACGAACGCTCGAACGCGTTTCCCATTTCGAAACGAAATTCGAAACAAATATTCGCCCGTGATAAACTATGATATTTCTTCGAAACGCGTCGATGAATGCTCGCACGGTTTTGCAAACAAACGTTTATTAAGGCCTAGAGGGAACTTCCACCGCGAAGTTATCGAACAATGTCCAACGTAACTTTTCTCCCAACCATTATCAAAGAATTCCGATACCTCGCGAAATAATGCAACCGGGTCACGAAAAGGCACGAGCACGTTCAATTTTCAGTCGAGTTTCAATTGTGACTGCGGCCGCAAATGAAAAGAAAAATGTTCGCACACACTTGCTGAGAAATGGTCGAGATATTTCGAATTCCTCGCAACTTCGTGAGAAAGAAGAAAATGTCGTACAAATTTTAAGGGATCGTCGTGAAGGGGAGACTTCGATCATCGAGATCGTGGCTGGTGGCATTTCGCCTGTGACGATAATTTCCCTCGGTTATCCGCGAAGCCAAACTCGAATTTGCCAAATTTTCAGAAGGAAAGATATCTTTGTTGCAGGTTGATGTGAGTGATATTTTCCGTTGATGGAAAAGTATCTATAAAAGTAGACGATTCAAGCTTTAAAACGAGATCTTGCAAATTGTCCTACGATTTTTTCTTCTTACGAAGCTTATATTAATTTGAAATGCCCACAATTTTCCATCGAATGTGAGAGTATACAAATATATATATATATATACATGTTAAGCTTTAAAGTGAACTTTAAATTTACGATTTTTTTTTAACATAATAATTATTTATATAATATAAAATATAAATTATAATATAAATATAATATAATATATAAATATAAAATATTGACAGTTTATATATATGTATATACATATATAATATATAAATATAACATATCGACAGTTTATATATATATATATATATGCAAAGCTTTAAAGTGAACTTAATTTACGATTTTTTTTTTTACGAAATTATAATAATTTAAAATATCGACAGTTTTTCTATATATATATATATATATGTTAAGCTTTAAAATGAACTTAGTTTATGATTCTTTTTTTGCGAAATTATAATAGTTTAAAATATCGACAGTTTATCTATATATATATATATATAATCGTAAACTAAGTTCACTTTAAAGCTCAGCATTGTCACTTGAATCTTCACTACATTTGCAGTACCGAGTTCATTTTTTTTTTTCCAGAGATATCGTCACATCATTTACAAGAAAGTAAATAAACTTTATGGACACTTTATGGACACTGAAAAATTTTTCCCACAATTAATTCTACAATGATCTTGAAGATTAAATTCTTCCCTTCGCAACGATTGCTTAAAATTCGTCGTATGACGTTTCTTCGCCAAGTTCTAAGAATTCGATCTTCAAGTAGATTTTTATAATAGTTTTATAATAGTATTTCGATCTTTCAATCCTGATTTCAATAGTTCAATCGTTAGAGCCTACGTTTAATTACCAAATTAAATGAAAGAAAAAAAAACCACGCGACATTGGAAAAAATGAAACAGATAGTACCTAACCTAAGGGTTGCAAAAGTTTTCAAATGACGGCAAAAAAGTCGTATTAAAATCGTGAGGCAATCGTTTCAAAATTAAACGAGGTCGCGGCGGTTTATTTCGAACTTAAGGATCGAAATGTCGACGATTTCTCATCAAGTAAGTATACTTTCTGGATCCACTGCAACTTCTATTTCGAACATTATGGAATAATATAAATATTATTATAAAAATTGTTACATATAAAATATATTATACATAAAAATTATTATATAAAATTTATATTATTATATATTATATTATTATATTATTATATATTATTATATAAAATTTATATTATTATATATAAAATTATTATATATTAAATTACAAAAATTATTATACATAAAATATATTATATGTTAAATCATAAAAATTATTATACATAAAATATATTATATATTAAATCATAAAAATTATTATACATAAAATATATTATGTATTAAATCATAAAAATTATTATACATAAAATATGTTATATATTAAATCATAAAAATTATTATACACAAAATATATTATATATTAAATTATAAAAATTATTATATATAAAATATATTATATATTAAATTATAAATATTATTATAATACTAATTGAAAGAATATAAACAAATAAATAAATGAGTAATCGAGTCGCGAATGGTCACGAGTAGAAAATCATCCTCCCCCCCCCCCCCCCCCCATGGCCGAACAAATATAAATAAAAAACGCGAGACACTCTCCTCTGTTATTCCATTATTTCCTTTCGCCTAGTTTATTGGCAGGAAAATATGGAAAGGAGACACACACACACACACACACACACACACACACACACACACACACACTCTGCGGGAGTCACACGTACACGCAGAGAGACACGTGTGCAACCACTGGGATACTACGAGACTTCTCGTTGAAGCAGCGTATAGCGCAAGTAGCGTGAATAAATAAAGAAGCACGGCTTATGTACTTTAACCGTCGATCGATTTTGCTTGGCATCGTGCCAGACAGGCAAGCTCGTCAGATACCGAAGAACTTCACCGCCGCGACTCTTAATCGTTCGGTGATATATCATCGAAACGAATATATTCGCCGTATACCTGGGCCCTTGGATCGTTTCAAAACTTCGATCGACCTTCCCATCGAAGTCCAAACGAAGCGCAACGCTTCGAGAGCGGGACACTCGCTGTGAAAAATTTTTTCCAATCGACCGAGAAACAACAACTGGGAAATGTTGCATCGAAAGCAATTCTGAAAGCTTCGCGCTGATGCTTCTGGCAAATTATTCAAGTTGAAAGGTTTTTATTGGGAAATTTCGCGAGACGAGAAGGAAACTATACGCGGAAAGAGAATTGCAGAGAAGGTTGAGCCACGGTAAATATTTCTTTTTTAAACACCGTCCATCCTGACGTCATCGGCAATGGAATACGATTTACCCGAAAGCTATAATTATTGGTTTGCTGTCGCATCGTGGACTTGTCAAGTAATATACCGTAGAGGAAGAGCTGCACTAAAAGAAAATTGTTAGAGTAGCTTCAATCGTGGTGTAATAAATATTTTGTGTTTCTTTTTTAAATTTTTTTGAAATATGATTTACGTGAAAGCTATTATAATTATTGGCTCAGTTGTAGCTCTTTGTAGAACTTGTCAAAATTTGTACAAATAATTGTAGAAAAATGAAAGTAAAAGCTACACTAAAAGAAAATTGTAGAGTAGCTTCAATCGTGGTGTAATAAATATTTCTTTTTGAAACATTTTTGAAATATGATTTACGTGAAAGTATATTATAATTATTAGTTCGGTTGTGACTCTCTGCAGTCGCACGTGAACGTGTCAAAATTTTTACAAATAATTGGTACAGGAATAAAATTAAAATTTTTATAAACAATTGTAGAGGAATAAAGCTGCACTACAATTCGTAAAATATTTCGTATTTCTTTTTTAAACATTTTTGAAATATAATTTACATGAAAACTATTATAATTATTAGTTCAGTTTGCAGCTCTTTATAGTCGCACGTGAACTTGTCAAAATTTTTACAAATAATTGTAGAAAAATAAAAGTAAAAGCTACACTAAAAGAAAATTGTAGAGTAGCTTCAATCGTGTTGTAATAAATACTTCTTTTTTTGAACATTTTCAAAATATAATTTACGTGAAAACTATTATAGTTATTAGTTCAGTTGTAGCTGTTTATAGTCACACGTGAACTTGTCAAAATTTTTACAAATAATTGTAGAAAAATAAAAGTAAAAGCTACACTAAAAGAAAATTGTAGAGTAGCTTCAATCGTGTTGTAATAAATACTTCTTTTTTTGAACATTTTTAAAATATAATTTACGTGAAAACTATTATAGTTATTAGTTCAGTTGTAGCTTTTTGTAGTCACACGTGGACTTGTCAAAATTTTTACAAATAATTGTAGAAAAATAAAAGTAAAAGCTACACTAAAAGAAAATTGTAGAGTAGCTTAAATCATGGTATAATAAATATTTCGTGTTTCTTTTTTAAACTTTTTTTAAAATATGATTCACATGAAAGCTATTATAATTACTTAGCTCACTCTCTGCAGTCACACGTGAACTTGTCGAAATTTTTACAAATAAAATTGTAGAGAAATAAAAAGTAAAAGTTGCACGTCACTTATTTAAGTCAGTCTCTCGCTTGATACTAAACCTAATCTATTTATTCGATCGACGTTAC